GCACCACCCGAAGGATGGACATATTAGAAACTCGGACTTGGGGCGGGGGGCAAGGGCAACATATGTAACCTAAACATCTGTACCCCCATAATATGCTGAAATATAAAAAAAAAAAAACTTAAAAGGACAAATGCTGAGGTGGTTTCCTTTTCCATTAGACCGATCATGTTGACAGGCTCTGGGTGACAAAATGCCATTGAAATGTCCCCCAAGAGATGCCAGCTATCGAGGCATCACGATGCTCTTGCTGCTGGGAGCGGAGGGTACCTCACCCCGAGGGAGGACAGCATCTCCTCCGCCACCTCCATGGCCCCAGGAGCCAGGAGAGAAAGCGGAGGCCGACCTCACGGAAGGCCCCCGCGCGATGTCAGCTGAGCCAGTTTCTGAGGTGGGTGAATACAAAGACATTGCCACTTTCAGGACAGCACGCCGCCCAGGCAGAGCCCTTTGGGTCTCTCCCCTGCTCCCAGTGGAAACGCAGTCCCAGCAGGAAAGCAGAAGCGCGAGCTCCCACTCTAGGTCATAGAGAGCAGGCTCCCAGAAAGCGACAACAGCTGCCAGCTGCACAGGTCGCAGGTCAGACCGCGGGACCACAGCCAGAAGCCCAGATGCCCCGGGAGTGTCTGCCACCCGGATTACGTGAGGGGAGTGGGACGTGGGCAGCAGCCCCCCGCAGGCCGGGAGCCCTACCCAGCAGGGCCGTGTTGTCCAGCAGCATCCTCCCTTTGTCCGCCGCCTCCTCGCCGCACACGTCCCCCACCAGCAGCAGCCTGATGGCCTCCTGCTTCACCCCGTCAAAGAAGTTGGACTGGATGGTGCGGGACATGGACCGGGCCCCGTCCTTCAGCTTCCCCACCTGCCAGGACCAGACCGCAGGCGTGAGAAGGGCCCACGCGCCCCTGCCCTCCCGCCCTGGGCGGGTCCCTACCTTGGCCTTCCCTTCCAGGGCCCTGCTGCCCGTGAACACTTTGCTCAGGCTGTGCCCGTTCAGAGACCACATGGCTCTGAAGGACTCCACGAAGCGGTCGACGATGGGCTTTGAACTCAGCCCCAGGCTCTTGAGCTGCAGGTGAAGGACCTGGGGGAGAAGCAACGGACAGTTGTCACCGACGTCTCCCACGGAGCCCCCACCAGGTGCCGTGCCAGGAAGTCCCGTATTCGGCAGACCCCGGATACTCGGCGCACCTCCCGAGGAGGAGGAGCTCGTGCAGCAGAGAAAGTGGCCTCCCGCCAGCTTTGCTTAGTGCTCCCCCACCCCTCCTTTGACCCCCTCACACTCCCCTGCACCCCTGCCGGAGGTGGACAGCAAACAGTGGTGGACAGTGGGTGGCGCTGACATGCCTCCTGTCCCAGCCAGGAGAGGTCAACCAGGCAGCCGGGCAGACTCGAGTCTCCTCCCCAGCTTCAATTGCAGCCGCGCCCGGCCGGCCTCACGCTGCCCTTGCCCAACGGTGCAGCCATGACAATCATCACACGGAACTACTGTTCCTCCAGGGGCACCTGGAGCCTTTGGGCAGCATGTCTGGGGTGTGCTGCAAAAAGGGTGTGAGGAAGTGTGCCTGTGACAGAGGAGAGGCAGTGGTGGCACCAGCACGCCAGCCACCCAGGGAACGCGTCTCCGGACGCCCCAGCACACCCCTGTCCACCTTGCCCACAGTTAGAAGGTCATCCAGTGTTGCCACCCTCCTCTTGCTGCTGAAGGCACAGGACATGGTACAGGTGGCCAAGAGGGCCAGGCAGGGACAAACCTCCAGCGCGATGAAGCCCTGCACGGTGTTGGTTCGGTCCAGGCAGTCAAGACAGTTCATCCGCACGGTACCCTTCTGAAAACTTAGGAAAAGAAGGAGAAATGTAAACAGTTACGAGTTGTGTGCGCAGCAGCAATCGCCGTGGCACAGCAGCCTATGCCTGACCCTCACTCCCAAGGAGACCTGTTCCAAGAGGGAACCCCTCACCTCCTCCCTAGTGGCCCCCCAGGAACCCCGGTATATATCCTGATGGGTCTCAGCACTACTGGAAGGGCAGGCAGACGCCAGCACACTCTCAGCAGCCTGCACATCCGGGTCACTGTAAGGATAGTGGTTCTTGTCATTCTCAGCAATTATGTTCTGTAAAGTTGCACGGACACTGAATTAGCCAACACGGAAGCATTGCTCCTAGAGGAAATACAGGGTCAGGTTCCTGTGAGCCTCTGGTCACAGTTACATCAGTTGATCAGTACATAACTTTGTTTTACGTGTTTCTGTATAAAGACATTTTATTAAATACGGTCATCACCACGCCTGCAGCACTGCCACTCAGGCCCACACGAAGCTCCTCTGACGTGTTCTCTGTGAGGCACAACCCACCTGCCTGTGCTTAGCGGTGCTGGACAGCACCTCAGCACGATGCTTGGGGGCCACTTGAAACTGAGAAATCACCAACAAAAACCACAGAAATGTGGAAAACGTGACACCAAATCACGAAAAGGATATTTGTTTACAGTGCGAGAGCTAAAACGGGAAGGCAGAGCGTTGCCTTGCTTGACCTTAGCTGGGAATGTGCCCATGCGGCAGCTCAAATTGTTCACTATTCTCAGGCCGGGCACGGTGGCTCACGCCTGTAGCCCCAGTGCTCTGGGAGGCCCAGGCGGGAGGGTCACTTGAGGCCAGGAGTTCGAGACCAGCCTGATCAAGAGTGAGCCCATCTCCACAAAAAATAGAAAAATTAGCTGGGTGTGGCTCACGCCTGTAGTCCTAGCTACTCGGGAGGCTGAGGCAGGAGGATCGCTTGAGCCCAGGAGTTGGAGGCTGCCGTGAGCTAGGCTGACACCACTGCACTCCAGCGTGGGAGACAGAGCAAGACCATGTCTCAAAAAAATTTTTTTTGTCACTTCTCTGCACATGTCTGTGAATGTCCTTGAAAGTGCTGTGAGTATTGACTTTGGGGTTTCGAGTAAGTTTTAGTGAGTGGGTGAATTTGAAAATGTGGACCGTGCAAACACGAGCAGCTGCGCTGGACTTCCTTCTCCTCCTCGGCTCTGACCAGGGCAGTCCACGCCCGTTTCCTCGGGGGACGTGGGTCCATCCGGCTGTCTGGCTACAACCAGTAATAGCGCCCCTCCCTCACAGGTCTGCGTCGCAGCGTGGCGCTGCACACTGTAACGCACTCCCTTTGTTAGGGCACCCCTTCCGCTAGGAAACCGCGCTTTCCCAGGACGCTGTGCACAGGGTGGCCAAGTAGCGAGGGAAGGAGGCCCTCCCCGACGGGGCACCCGGCGACACTCACCGTGGACTTACATTCTCGCCCTTCGTGAACACGTCCAGGTCCTCCCAGTGCAGCTGTAACTGAGGCCTCAGCAGGTTCTCCAATTTCTCGAGCTTCCCGCCTTTGGCAAACTGATGGAAGTCAAAGTTTATCATAGGCGTGTCGCTGGCGTGGCAGGAAGCCCAGAGCAGCTTCTGAAAAGGGAGAGGGGAGGGCGGTGAGGGGAACGGAAGGAAGGGAGGATGGTGCCCGCCGTGAGGCTAACCACAGCTACTCACTGGAGCTCGCGGTTTAGCTCCAAAGCTTACTGTGGACCAGGCTGTGGACCTGTCCTGACCCTGAGAGGGAAGCCCAGGACAAAGGCCCGGGGCACAAAACCCATAGGAACAGCCTGCCTGCACAAGGGCAGTGGGTGCCCCTTGGGCAAAAGGAGCCAGAGCAGCTGGGGCTCCCTGGGGACATCACACTCCTGCAGGGTCTCCGGAGGGCACAGGTGAGGGATGTCGTTCTGTTCTTCTGGTAGCCCGAGCGCCCCAGGCCCTCAGGGACAGTGGCACTGCAGGCTGCGGAGCTCATAATCCAGCTCATCGTTGCCCTGGTAACCAGCCAGCCCACCCTGACAAGCACAAGCTGTGTGTGTGTGGGGAGGGGGCGCCTGAGTGGCCAAGTCCCCAGGCCGAGTGCCCTGGGTGGGACGCAAAGCCCAGTGCAACTTCAGAGTGGGGGAGACGGTGGCCCGAGAGCTGGAGTGAAGGGGGTGCTGATGGGTGGCACGGCATGGGCTGCTGATGGCACCACCACGCTCCCGAGTCTTCTGCATGAGGCTTCCATGGCCCGGCAGCTTCTCGGCTTCCCCAACAGCCCCGGGGTAAAGGACACACTGGCTGCCTTCCCAGGCCACCCTCCTGCACCCAGGCCTCATGGCTTCAGCTCAGGTCTGTCCAGCATTTGCCCAGCCAGAGGTTCTAATGACACTGAAGGTCTAGGAGGACTTTCGGTCATCTGGCCTGGCATAGCTCATAGTGCCCATCCCCCACAAGCCAGAGTGTAAATCAAAGCACAGTTGCCATTGCCAAGAAAGTCCTGCTGTGACAAGGAAGCTGGCCGACCCAAACGGCACGCCCAGTGGCTGAGTGCTGTGCATGGCGGAGCAGGTGCCCTGTCCAGCAGGACCAACAGCTGCCAGCCCAGGCAAGCAGCGCTGACAAGGCTGAGGGACACCAGGCAGGGGAGGTGTCCAGCTAGGCCGCTGCCCCTTCCCTACTTGCCAAGCTGCCTGCCCGCTCCACCTGTGCCCCGAGGTGACAGCCATCTCCTGCGCCACTGGTCACAGTGCCAGGGCACCTCCACCAGCTGACGGGAGGGGCCATGGCCACCCTGTCCCCAAAACTCAAGGCATAGAGGAGAAAGAGATTTGGGGTTCTTCTTTTTTTTGGCTTGCATTTTTTTTCTTCTTCCTCAAAATAAGCAGCCAGCATCACTGCCAAGACGGGTGGGGAGATGCTTCTGGAGCTTGTTGCTAATAGCAACAAACCAAACAGGAAAAGCAGGTCTGGCCAAATAAAACTGGCGGCCAGAAAGTCCCGCTCCAAGCGTGCAGGCTTTCTCAGCAGAGGAAAATGAGCCCAGCTGCACCGGCTTCAGCCAGCCAGGGGGCAGGGGCCAGGGGTCGGCCACAGAGGTCAGCCCTCACTCCCTGCTGAGGTGACTTCAAGCCTTGCCCATAAGGGGCTTCCTTGAGCTTCAAACAACCAGAGATTCTCTCCTTCAGGCAGGAGACGTGGGAGGCCGGGAAAAGAACAAGGAGCCACCAGCTCGTTCTGGAATGTCTTGTGCACAGCGGCAGGCACAGGGAGAGTGGGGAGGCTGCGTCACCTGCTCCGCCCACTCCCGGCCTGGCCAGGCTCTCCCCGCACCCCCCAACAGCCCCAGGGAGCCAGCAGCTGCCGTGCAAGAGCCAGCCCGAAAGCCATGTGAGCTCGGCTCTGAATCAAGCCCTGAGGCCCAGTGACCCGCAGGGCTACCCTGGAGCAGGGCTGAGCTGCCAGGAGGCGGGGGGTGGGGGGGACAGGATGGGGGGGCACCTGCCCCCCTGGACTGGGAGGGACTCCTAGAGACCATCAGCCCACAGTGCCCCACGGGGAGCCAGGGGCAGCTGGGGACGGAGATGCTCTGACTTGGAGCCCTTCTGCCTACCATCAGCTCATAGAAATGAAGCCCACTGCACCAGGAGCCCGAGTCACCAAGTGGGGCTGGCCGAGGTCTTCAGTCCCCGCGGGAGCCGCCTGCCCTCGCCACCTGCGCCAGCCCAAGTGTGCAGGGGCCACGGGGCCTTACCTTGAAGGCTCTGTTGAGCACCTCCTCTCCACCTCTGCTTCCCAGCAGGTTCACAACCACCTGCTGTCCGTACTGCTCCTTCAGAAGCACCATGTGCCTGCAACGGCAGTGGGGCAGCGGTGACGCGGGCAGGGCGCAGATGGCCACCCCGGCCTGCCCTTGCGGGAAGAGGGGCCAGAAGGGGCTGTGTTTTCTCAGTGCCAGAGGCCCAAGGCCAGCCACCTCCCGTGACCCAAAGTGTGGAAAGGGAGCCTGGGGCTGGAGGGGACAGTCCCCCCGAGCCGCCACCTCGCTGGCTGGTGCAGACCTCTACTCAAGTCTGGCGTCAGAGAAGAGTGCTGCGCCTCCCGTACAGCGCCACCGTTGACTCCGCAACAGCTAGCCTGACCTTTCACGGATAGAGTCTTGTGAATGCAACGTGCACGTCTGCGTAATTAACCTCTTATCTCGCGTGGCACCCTTCTTTCTCAAAACTAGAGAAACTGGTGGGAGAGCTCTCCACCTCGGATCCAGTTTTCCATCTAAGGCTGCGTTTCATTACGCATGAAGCCACAGCGCGGCTTATCGGAAACAAGGCCCACGTCTGCTCATGTCTGGTTGCTGCACCTGCTTCTCAACTGGTTCCAAATCCCAGGGCTGGAAGAGAACTGATATTTACTCCGTATTACTCTATATTACTCATTTTTACTCTATATTTACTCATTATCACTCCATATGACTCATTATTACTTTATCCTGTCACCAACCCCAAACTCCCCTGATCCAACTATTCATCCTCTCTGAGCTCCTTCCTTCATCTGTGTGGCGAGACTGCTCCCCCTTCTGCAGGGAATGGCCCCGAGGACTGAAAGAGGCAAGCCAAGGTGACAATGACAGTGCTCAGCGCACGGGAGCTGATATTTCTTTCCTTTTAATGCAAAAATATGATAACAGACGTGTTATTGATAAACTAAAACACTCCTTTTGCCGTCCAGGGCATAAGGGAGGTCCTGGCACCCACACCAAGGTCAGTGCCGCACAGACGTGCCGCTGGCCTGGGTGGCGCTGTGCGTTTAGGCCTTTTGTTCATCCCTCCGCCCGCCTGTTACTGTTCTAGGAAGCCACCTGGAAAACTGCAGAGGTTTTCAGGACACTGAGAAGGTAGACTTCCATCGGGAAGCCCCCTTCTGACCTTCGGGAGGGATAAAAGCCAGACACACGCTGACGCGCACACCAAGGCTCTAGGCCCAGCAGCTCCGGCGAGCGCGAGGGTGATGGAGAACAGCTTCGCCGTGCCGTGAAGGAGACTCAGGCAGCGCCCATGAACGGTAACTCGTCACCACGCTGAGATGGCGAGATCCTGCTCGAGCAGCTGCAGCCAAAGGCCTGCTCCAAACAGCCCTCGGACACGGATGAAAGAACGACAAGAGACAGCCTCCACCAACGAGGGCACCTGTGCAGCGCCAGCAAAGAAAACTGAGCGTCCTCTGGGTAGAAAAACTATCCGTGGGAAGGAGTTTTTGGAGGAAAGGAATTTACTCTAGACAAATCCATCCAAGAACCGGAAGAACTTGAGAGCGCGGCGAAGGCCAGATAGGAGGATTCGGAAGCAGAGAGAGAGCATGTGCCAGCCCAGGGACGCCTGGCTGCGCTCAGGGGCATCACAGCGCCCCGTCCCTAGACAGAGGTGCCGCCTCATTTCTACATACCACTCTCAAATCTAGCACAGTCGGCACTTAATATGAAAACGGGCGGCTCCTGCAGGGGACGTGTGGGCACACGATGCTAGTCAAATGCTGTGGTCAAACAGCATAAAGAGGAGACTTCCCGTAAGCCAAAGCCGCAAGCAGGAGCTGCCATGAGAGGACTTACACGTTCCAGCAAATTGTTCTGGGCTCTGCAGAAGAGATCTAAGTTTACATCTCGATCTGGGGACGCTGACCAAGGGCAAGGTAGCCCCTGGGGTGCGTGTGGGAAGACAAAGCTCTCGTTCTCTCAGGTAGGTGCATCACACCTTGCATTGCCAGGATGCTAAAAAGTCTTCGGTCTTGTAAGTGTGCTTACACTATACACGTGTATTTTTTTTAAAAAGTTCACAAACACATGAGGGTTCCTGAAACAAGTCCGGCATAACCCTTTTCTCTTCTTTTGGGTCAGCTTCAGGTAGAATTTCATTTTCAGCTATATATTTACTATTCCCTAAAACATTTAGAACTACATATGTACAATGCTTAGGACATACTAATAGTGTTCTGGAAAAAGGCAATAGCATTTTTATCACTAGATTATACATCTCTTTATAGTAAAACCCATTGTTTGTAACATGCTAATTAGGAGGTCACAGCTGGGCTCACATTACCAGTGTTATGTTCAACAAAAGAATATGCAAGCAAATTTAAAGTCCAAATAAAGCTTCAGTGGAATGATAAAAAACATTTTCAAAATTACTTTTTTTTTTTTTTTTTTAGAGATAGGGTCTTACAATGTTGCCCAGGCTGGTCTCCAAGTCCTGGCCTCAAGCAATGCCCCAAGTAGCTGGAACTTTTAGCCATGCCTGGCTAAAAAATTGCTTTTGAGAATTTTTATTATATTCACTAAGATAATTTTAAAAATTAGTATTCAGATTAAAAAAGCAAATATTTTAAGAAGCTATTAACTATTTCAAGTACATATTACAAATAGTTCAGCTTAGCAATGTTAAACAAGTTGTGAAACAGTGTGTTATGATCCAATTTGTGTTTTAAAAAATAAAAAATACATATGTATGTACCAAAAGTTTTTCTAGAATAACATGTAAAAAACTAATAATAGTAAAATCACTAAGAGTGGGAATTGGAGTTAGGATGCTTTTATTTTTCACTTTATACCTTTCCATACTTTTTAAAACCTGGGAATATATAACCTTTACAAAACAAAAACAAACAGCTATAAATATAATTTAGGTTATCCCTTATTAATCAAGGCAAATGGATGAAGTTTCAGTACAAGAACAAACTGGTAAGATAAAATAATTGCAAAGTGCTACCTGAACATTGATTAATTAACCTTCAGGAAACCTGAGAATGAGTGAAAATTCCATTTTGTAAACTCCCTTCTTGCATAAAGGACCAACGTAAAAGGCAGACTGAGGTTCGGGGTTTGGGGCCTTCCCCTTCCTGCCACACCCTGTCCCCTGCGCCACTGTCTGATGGGAGGAAGATTCCTAAGGACAAGGACGAAGGGCTCGGGCAGTGTCAGACAATCCCTACCTGTCAAAAGCAGGGGCGCTGGCTTCCAGGCCTCTGTGCAGTCTCAGATGGTGGGAGCCGACCTAGAGCAAAGAGAGGTGACAACGGTGAGTCTCCCTGCCATGCAGACAGAGGACGTGATGGCTTTCTTGTTCTCCTTCTCGCTGCCAGCCAGGCCACTGTGGCAGCCACTAGGACCTCCATGGCCCCTTCACAGCTCAGGAAGGCTGGGCTCCCTGGACTCTGCTAACGGTGCCCTAAGCTCTGCCCAGTCCTGACTGCAGCAGGACCATGTCAGCTGGAATCCTTCCACAGACAGAAGAGAAGTCCCAGGGCGGGACCATGAGGCAGATGTCAGATCCCCAGACTCTCCCACAGCAGAGGTCAAGCCAATTAGAGAGACAGAAACTGCTTCCCAGCCTCCTCTACTCCTTCAGGGACTTCAATTTTTCCCCCAAATCTGAGATATCCTGATCATCTAATTTGCCTTACTACTTAGAGCTATTTAATACTCAATTTAGTCACTGAAGTCAGCTTGTAGGGGCTTTCACTGGCCAAATCGGGGACAATTTGAGCATCAAACTATAATAAGAACAAGAATGGATTATAACCTGATGAATAAAATAGGAATCCACAAGTCTATACTATAGTTGGATGGATGGATGGATAGAATGGATGACTGGATGGACGGATGAGTGGACAGACAGAATGGTTGTTTGGGTGGATGGATGATAGATGGGTGGCTGGGTGGGTGCATGAGTTGGGCAGGTAGGTAGGTGGGTGTGTGGGTGGATGAGTGGGGAAGAAGGGAGGGCTCTTCCTTATATTAGAATACCAACTGATAATGTGGAGGAGGAAGTAGAAAATCATCATTTTACAACTGTCATAGTAAAGAATGGCTCAGCAAAAGTCATCCATTGATGACAAATCTTAAGAGGAAGTTTGATGAGAAGCAAGACACTAGCACGGCTGGAAGTGTCTCCCACAGATTGCTCATTAGCTGAAAGGGAAACCACATTAAGTGTAAGTGGATAACGTGAATAGCACCTTGACTGGGCGACCAAAATTAGCATCAATAACGAGAGGCAGACAGACACCCTGTGCCTCCAGAAGGGGTGCCTGAGAAGGACATGGCGTCATTTAGGTACCATTCTGCCCAGGGATCCATACCCTGAATCCGATCACAGTGAAACACCAGGAAACCCCAAAGGGGGGACTCTCAATTTAAAGAAAAATGAGGCTGCATTCTCCAAAAATGCCAATGCCACGAAGGACAGAAAGGCTGAGGAGCAGATCGAGACTAAAGGAAACCAGAGCCGTGACAACTAAATGCAGATGTGACACTGGGTGACAGGGATGCTACAAAGGCTATTGCTGAGACGACTGACCCGTCTGGAATGTGGGCGGCAGACTAAAGCACCGCGTCAGCGTGACGCTCCCGAGCGCACACCTGCACCGGGCTGACGTACGACAGTGTGTTCTGCACGCAGGTGAAGGGACGCGACGTGTGCCACCTACTGCCCAGCAGTTCGGAAGATAAATAATGACGTGTACGTGTGCGACACAAGATTACAATGTCGTGAACGTGGGTGAAGGACGTATGGGAGCTCCCCCTTCTGCTCTTACGACTTTCCCAGAGCCGTGTGCCCTCCTCCAGTTGGTTCTGTGACATGAAACTGCAAAACACAGACTCAACTCGCCCGTGTGAAACACACGTCTGCACATGCATGTTAAGGGAGGAAGATTCTACGGTGACGAGGGGAGCACAGTCTTCAACCAATGACACAGGATCATAAATAGGCTCTATAACTAGCTGTACCAAGGATGCAAGTCATTTTAAGGGTAAAATTTCAACGTGGCTATTTGTAAACTACACAACCCATTTACATGGGAAAAATGAAATTGTTAAAGGGATACGGTTGCCAGAAATGGAGTCAGACGTACTGAGGGTGCCGTTCCTGTGAAAACACGCAGACAAATCCTCCCCCAAGGTCCTCCCTGCCTGCTCCCACCCCTGAAAGGGTCGTGGTTCCCTGGGCAGCCCCTAAGAAGGAACAACTAACTCTGCAACGTAATATGTAAGCTATCCACCCCCAAACTTTTGTCCTTTTCCTCTAGGGGAAAAGGTCAAAATGGAGTAAAACGAGCAGAACTGACCCTCAGGCTCGATACTGACAGTTCCAGCTGTGTGACCCGAGACCACCACCGCTTACAGCTGCCCTCCCGGTCCCCTCTGAAGACGGCTTAATCTCTCTTTGATGACAGATAAACACGGGTATTAGGCCCAAAGGTTAGCAAATCCTTAATAAGATTAACAAACACTAAAGCCTTGTGAAACTTGCTCCGAAGACACCGTGGAGGCTTTGGTGAAGCACAGGCGTTCGGAAGCTCAGAGGGTGACGCGGCCGCCCAAACGCTGACCAAGGCCCACTGCCCCTGTCCGTGTTAGATCGAGGCACGGTCATTCCACGGCAGGTTAGGTTGCGTCCGGAGCATCGCAAAGGTCAAGCTGGACACCAAAATTAAATGGAAGACGGGATGACAAACAAGCACGGTTATTTAGACAAGGGGGATGAAAACACTGAGAGTCTAGAGATAGGACGAAGGCGTTCAAAGGCATCGAAGGCCTTAGGGAAGGCAGATGGGGTGGGGAACCAGGAGGCTCCTCCTCTGAGGTCTGAGGGTGAGTCACGTGGGAGGAGGACCAGACCCACTCCCGCGGCCCTGGGACGCTCCCCAGGGTCAGATAGGCCCGCGGCACAATCCAAGGAGAAACTCACCGACAGAGCCGTCCCCAGTCGCAGCGGCTGGAAGGACCCCGGAACTAAGGCAGGGAGTAGAGTGGACAACCTTCAAAGGGTCTTTCCCAAATTCTAGAATCTATCACGACCATCCCCTCAAGTTTTGGATTTCTTACAAACTGTACGTGAAACATAACGAGGTCTCCCTGTTTCCTTTGTGTACTAAACTCATATGACCAATTTTTTCATTCTCTTAAATACAGAGCTCAAGAAGTTTCCTTTGGAAACTTCTGAACTTAAAGAAAGTCAAGTTTCAAAACCCCTTTTGGAACGTCCCTAAAGGGAAACCTGTAGAGACAGAAAGTAGATTAACGTCGCTTCGGCCCGAGGGGAAGTCCGGAGAAAATGGAGTGACTGCTAATGGGCCAGGCTTTTCTGCAGTGAGGAAAATGCTCGAAATTAGATTACGGAGATGGTTACACGACTCAAATGCACTAAAAGCCACTGAGCTGTATGCTTTCAATGGGTGAAGCTTATGGTATGCAGGTTATGTCTCAGTAAAGCTGTTTTTCAAAAACACCTTGCTTGGGCACCATTGCTCCAGAGGAATTTCCATGTCAGAACTGTCCCCAGGAATGCTCTCTTGATGCCACCTGCCATCTCCTGCATCTTGGCTGTCCCTTTCTAGAGGAAAGACTGAATGTGACTAAAGCCCTCTCTTTTCACCAGAGGCCAATTCATCCATCTCACTCCACGAGCTGACCCGCTGTGCCACCAATGTGTCAGCGTGGCACGCCCGTGGCCATGGGGGCACCTCACCCACTGCTGGCCTGGGACAGGTCGAGGGCTCTGCTAAGGAGCTGGACCTAGGCCTGGGCGCTTGGAGCCCAGCCGCGCCAAACACCCCGAGGAACCTGGCAGATGGTGCCCTGGGCCCCTTCAGCCACTGGCTGGCAACCCCCCTGCAGTCACACGAGAGACCTCGGTGAGAAGAGCCGAAGACGACAAAGGCCCCAGCCTGGAGGCTTTATGGACGCACCCACGTTCCCTCAGGACAGGGAAGAGGACGCGGGATCAGCGTGGCGGGATGTCCATCCGCTCGGCCCGTAGCCCACCTCGCTGGAGAACCCACTGGGGGAGGCCGCGGGTCACCTCACTGATGGTAGATGTGTTCTGGGGACGCCTTCCCACCCTGCGTTCTGCCCAGGAGACGGAAAGCCAAATCCCCCTGGCACTGGCCAGAGCCTTTTGTGGCCGGCAAGGGATATTTTTAGAAACCACAGGAAAGCCGTGCAGTCCTCACGGGGCTCCACGACAAGCAGAACTGATGACAGACTGACTACACAGCCACGGAGGGCCCGGAGCCTTTCTAGAGCAGCTCTCAAAAATGTCCCCCGTACCTGGAACTTAGGGTCCAACTTGCAGTCACTCTACCCAGGCACACAGTGTGGGTCACTCACTCAGCAGACGCCATGCCTCAGTGTGTGGCGAGCATGCCACAGGCCAGCCGAGCAACAAGCCACAGACCGGGGTGCGTGTTTTCTGTACATACATGCACGCGTGCGCGCGCGCACACACACACACACACACACACAGACGGCTCAGCTTAGTCCAAATGCGCTGAGGAAAAAGACCAGCAACTACACCACAGAAAGAACATGTCAAAAGAAACAAACCCCAGCTGTTGAAGAGAAGGGCAGGGTGAACAGTAACACAGGGGACATTTCCCTTTTTTTATTTACCTACCTGAAGCCCTGGCTGCTCCCAAAACAGCGGAACGGAGCCTCTGATCTGGACAAAAGACGACACTCCATCATCCATGTAGATCGTCTGCAGCACAAGGGAACAGAAGGGGAAAGATATTCCTCAATGAAACCGGATGTCCTGGGCTGGTAACGGGATCCGCCGCCTGCGACCCGACACCGGGCAGAACGAAGGGCAGACTGGACTTCGGTGCCCTCTGCTCCTCCGCCGCGGCTGGCGCTGCTCCCTGACCACGGGCTGGCGGCGGGCGGGCACGCTGGCAGCTCACCAGCCTCTGAGGAGGGGTCTGCGGGGGGCCTGAGCCCCTCCAGGCCTGCGGCCTCCCCGGGTGAGCGGGAGTTCACACTCCTGGCACCAGCTCGCCCGCCTCCCTGCAGAGCCCAGCAACGCCCCCAACCCGCTTCAGGCAGGGGGCCAGAGCGCTCTGGGATCGAAGCGGGGCCTTTCTCAGCCCTCTGCTTGCACCTTGTCAGCTGGCTAAGCAGCAGAGAGCTACTGCAAATGGGAGGAATGAAATAAAACGAGCAAGCTGTCGCCAAAAGACCTAGCTGACGACACTAGTCAGTCTTGAACTTGACAACACAGGTCAAGACTCAACTTGAACTTGTACTTGGCCCTGGCGCCGCCCCACTGTGTTCTTAAACAGGCCACTCAGTCAACACGCACCACAGTTTCCACAAGCTGCCAGTGTGGCAGCACCTGCAGAGAAACAGATGACACACTTTAAAAATGTATCTCCTCCCTGACCCAAGTACGCAGTTATTTCGGAGTGTGCCTGCAGGCCTCCGCTGGTCCGGGAGCGCAAGGGGGTCTTAAAAGGACAGCAAGTGCCATCCCCAGCACCAGCAGGGCGAGGTGGTTATCAGATCTCAGCTTTATCTGCGCAACTCTAGCCTGGCCTGGCGGGGCAGCTGCGGCGTGGCCTTTCAGCTTCTCAGCAGCCTGCTCCCTTACCGGGTAGCTTTCCACGCAGGCGGGATCACGCTCAGATCACACATGCATTAGTAATTCCGAAGTGGAGGACTTGAAAATTAGAACCACAGGAATTACGTGAGCCAGGGGAGCCACGGGAATCCATGAGCCTGGTATCCATATTGCTGAGCTGGAATTCTATCCTCTAATCTCCTAAGGAAAAACGCACTGGGTTGAGAACTTGCTGTTTCCAGGTATTGGGTACCAGAAAATTCATTACCCTCCACTGTTCTACTGATGAAAGCAGAATAAAATAAGCAGGGTGTTTAAATGACTGCAGGCATAGTTGGCCACCATGAAATTAAGTGCATACAACTGACCAGCACGTGTGGCCTACACCAGCCCAGATTCCTGGGAAAGAAACCAAATCAGCCAGCATTTTTACACAAAGCCAACTCTTAACAAAGCCCAGGGGCTGATTAAAGCTAAGGACTTCATCCTCACTCTGGTTACCGCGTGCGGATAGGCCACTTGCAGCATCAGACCAGGCCCCCCTTGCACTGAGATTTGCACAGAAGCAGCTTCTGCAAACCCCGCAGGCAGGCCGTGCTCCAGACCACCCCACCACCGGGGCAAGAAGGGATGCTCCAAAGTGGAGTCGCTCCTTCCCATCCTAAGTCTGTGTCCCACGCTACCAGCAGGACCACCTTCTCTGTTCCCAGGGCGACGGGCATAACCCGCTGTCAAACGCCAGTGCTGCATTTCCATGCCGGGGGAAAGAACACAGTGGAACGCCAGTGGAACGTGCAGCGTCTCACCTCACAGAAGTCATTTTAACAGAGGGCATCTGGGGTCCTGGTGGGCAGGCAGGATGCAGGGTGGAAAGAACGTGGGCTCTTGGATAAGCCCAGGCCGCACCTGACAGCCACTATGGCCCACAGGGTGGCCCTGGGTACATTATTTAACCACCTGCAGCCTCTGTTTCCCTCTCCCTAAAAAGAGTTAATGTCATGTGGTGCCCAGAGAGGGGACATGCTGCGAGGGTGATGAGAGCGGGACGCCAGCACGGGTGGGCACTCAGGGCACAGAGCTATCTTCTCTTGCCGCAGGAATGTGCCCCCTGTGAGCACGGGCACAGCCACCTTCTGGGGGCAGGTGGGGCTTGGGGGTGGGAAGGGGGAATCCAGGAAGGAAGAGACGAGAAGCGGGAGGGAGCCAGGGAGAGCCGCAGGGCCCGGAAAGAAAACAGGGAGCCCCAAGTGATGCAGCGGTGAGGCCAGGCTGGGGCCCAAACCCCCAGTGGGGCAGGGAAAGGAGACCCTGAGCCGCACTTTCACAGAGGGTGGGAGCAGAAACCAACAGCCACCACGAAAAGAGAGGGATGAGGCCAGAAAACTCGCGCTTATGTGTATACGCTCTTAGCTGACAGGCTCTTGCTGCACTTCTACTTCTGGAGGCAGTGTTTGCAAACCGACTCTTTCCAAGTCTGCAGTTCCTGGGGGTCATACTCAGTCATCCTGACCTCCCTGGAGTAGTCAGTGGCTTTATCTTCAATAGCCAAATATTTACCTTGGATCCTTGTTTTTTTGATAGACTGAGGGGAGTTTTTGGTCTTGCTTTCCTGCCTGGTGAGTCACCACTGCAGGGCAAGGTACGACTCACCAGAGCTGAAAGACTCAGGCTTCCTCCCAAGGAGACTGAGATGCCATCCACATATACACACTCACGCACACAACACACACGTGTGCATACAACTCAAATGCACACTGTAAACATACACACACGACACACAATACACACGACAAATGCAATGCACTTATGACACACCACACAAATGCACGATGTACCTGACACACACATACATGCACAACATACACATGCACACAGCACACACAAAACATACATGCACATACAAGTGTACACATGCACACACACAGCCTTCCCTGAAGAAGGAAGATTTATTCCTCTTACTAAATAAAAGATGCCAGGCCAAGCGTGGTGGCTCACGCCTGTAATCCTAGCACTCTGGGAGGCTGAGGCAGAAGGATCGCTTGAAGTCAGCCATTCAAGACCAGCCTGAGCAAGAGCGAGACACCCGTCTCTACTAAAAATAGAAAAACTAGCTGGGCATGGTGGCGCATGCCTGTAGTCCCAGCTACTCGGGAGGCTGAGGCAGGAGGATTGCTTGAGCTCAGGAGTTTGAGGTTGCTGTGAGCTAGGCTGATGCCACGGCACTCTAGCCCAGGTAACAGAGTCAGACTCTGTCTCAGTCAATCAATCAATCAATCGATCAGTAAAAGGTGCTAAACCAGGCCATAGCAGGGGTGCTGCAGGTCCTCCCTTCCCTGGCTCCCTGAGGATCATTCCCGGGAAGTCAGCAGCCCGCCGAGTGCTCCCCACCACAGGCAGCCAGTCTGTTCCTGGTTTGGTACCATCATTTGTGTGCCAGATGATGGCTGCACAGGCAGTGCAGCTCCTGCGTGCGTTTAGCAGCCCTCCGCTTCCACACGGCAAGTGGACAGGTCTGAGGGGTCTCCCTCCCGCAGCAGGGCCCAGGCCAGCAATCCCAGGCAGCACCAGGCCAGCTGCCTCCGAGCACGCCCCTCCTCCTGCTGCGGGCTCAACACCACTTCCTGAAGCTGCTGCCTGCACCCTGGGGTGTGGCGACCAAGATTCAAAGCATGTCACTTCCTCAAATGTCAGGTCGGAACACGCTCTGTCTATGGAACCACTTCAGGGTCTTGGGAAGCGGTGCACAACCTGCTATTTCGCCATAAGCAAAGCCAGGGACACATATTGGAGGCCCTACAATTGTGGCTCTGCAAACTCAAGGGAGTAGGACGAGCCAGGCTCCCGCGAGTGACTTATCCCGAATTCTACCAGATCACCCAGGTCCTAAATGGGCAACCTTCAGCGGGTCACAAGACAGGTTTCCCCCACGAGTGCTGTGCAGACCAGCCTTCCCTGGCTGCCTCGGCTGCAACAGCATCATCAGAAGCAGGGCCAGGGAGGGAGGAGGGCTGCCCTCAGCAGGAACATGGGAAGTGTATGTTGCACTTGAACGTTTTTGTGTTTAAAAAAAAAAAAAAAAAAAAACAACTCAGACCAACCTAAGCACCTCTGTTGCTATAAAGTGCCACAAACAAAAACATCGAGTGACTCCAGAGACATAGAGCAAGTGGCTCTCTTGCTATGTAGGAGGGAGGCAATGAGTTTCCCTTTCTTTTGGGGACATTCGCTTCCTTTCAGCCATCTCTGCTCCTCCTGGAGCCATACTGTTCTTTGGGGACACTGACCACTGTCAGGACCACACCCGGCCCGTGTGCGTGGGAGTGCCTGGGCCACAGCCTTTCCTTGGAAGCAAAGCCTCCACTGCTGTCCCCCGCTCCTCTGTCTCCTCGCTCCACGGCCCCACCTTGCCTGGGCCGGCCTCCAGCACATGCCTCTCCTGCCCGCGCCCTGCTGGGCATCCATCTCCCTCTAGAAGGGCAAAGCTGCCTGCCAGGCCACCCTGCCACCTCGTTCCTGAGGCATCCCCTGCATCCCCTACCCACCGGGGAGCAGAGCCTGGCAGCTGGCAGGCCCACAGTGGGACTCTGAAGTGTCACCTCCCCTCCTGTAGAGTGGTCAGGCCATCTAGGGGCTCTGCCGGCCTGGCCCAGCCTGGGCTTCCACCGCCCATCAGCAGCAGCCTGAAAGGCCCTGCTCTGGGTGCCCGGCCACATCCCTCGTGTCCTATGTGTCCAGTGGAAATGAAATCACCATGGGTTAAGTTACACTCCTTGGGGTGGGGGGTGGCAGCTGTGGCTGCCTGCCTCTCTGGGCGGGCGGCAGACGGTGGTGTCCCTGGGAGCGAGGTCCGGTAGGGACTTGACAGGGAGCAGCACTGCCTGGCCCAGGGCCCAGAGCCCAGGGGAGGAAAACGGGATGAAAAACACATGCTGGGAGGACCAAAAAGGCTACGGGGCCCAAGAAATCCCTCCCCGACCCTGAGAAGGAAGGTGGGTTGCAATTTAAACAGCGTCAGGCTGAAGCCCAGGAGCGGAAGGGCAGGCTGTCCATCTCTCTAAGGCCTTGCGGGCCACCCGGATGGGGGGAGACTGAGGCGACGTGAGGCCCTAATGAGTAAACTGGGAGCACAGTGTGAAATCTCAGAGCCAAATCCTCCACCCCGTCCCTGGGAATGCTTGCGAGTCTGCAGAAAGTGAACAAAGCAACAATCGTGGAGGGTTTTCCCAAAGCTGAGTGCACTGCACACAGAGCACAGCCCTCTAACGGGGGGATGGCCTCGTTACGGGCTCAGTTGTGTCCCTTCCAAAAGGATACATTGAAGTCCTAACCCTCAGTACTTTAGAATGTGACCATGTGTGGAAACAGGGTCCTTGCAGACATAATTAGTTAAGGGGAGGTCACATGAGGGTCAGGTGGGCCCTTGGTCCAGGGAGAGGTGGCCACGTGCAGACAGACACAGATTGGAGCGATGCTGTCACAAACCTAGTTACGCCTGGGGCCACCAAGACCAGGGAGAAGTGAGGAAGGACCCTGCCCTAGAGGCTTAGCAGAGACTGTGGGCCTGGTGACACCTCGATTTCAGACTTCCAGCCTCCAGAACTGTGAGAGAACAAACGCCTGTGGTCTGAAGCCACCCATTTGGGTACCGTATCACGGCAGCCCCTTTTCATTTTCAGTGTTACAATGCCCTTTTAGGGGAGGTGATGGTGGGGGACAGTTGTTTCCCCAATGACCTACTCAATATGACACAGTAGATGAGACACCAATTTTTTTGTACTAGTTGAAATCCAAAAGTCTGGGGCCCATGAACCCCAGGACCAGACCAGGGGCTGCCTGCCAGGGGCTGGATGGAGAGGGAGGCCCAGGCCTCATTGCAGGGCCCGATGGGGGCCTTGACTCTGGTTCCATCTCCAATCCCAGGGTCTCTGGCACTCTGATTCATACCAACATGCTCTACACCTCCGGCCCCCTGTACCCAGCCCAGCACCCAGCCCATGCAGGTGACAAATTAGAGAGATTTGCTGAGCAAAGCAGAGTCTCAGGATAACAACCTAGGGATAAAAACGAGGATGGGAAAGCGGCAATGAAGCGGGGTGTGAGAGCGAAGGGAAGGACCTCCCTGCGGACGGAGCAGGAAGAGAGGAATCGGCCTCCACCTGGGGGCCACACAGCCTCTTCCGCTATCTAGTTTTTAACTGGATATTTATTTAACAACCTTGTCAATACCCAGGAGTGTGAACACTGTGGCCAGAGTTACAGGCAGCAAGTAATTGTACCAGCTGCTCATCTCAGGGCTCCTGTCCCAGTGCCCCTCCTACTGTGTGCAGGACTCCAACGGGGGCCTCCTCGTCTTTGCACACACACCCCTCTGGAAACCCCAGCAGGCAGGAGCTGCCACAGGTGGAGGCAGGCGTGCAAAACTGCACTGGATTAAAGCGGCCAACATCCTCATGAGGAAGCCCTCTCACGGCAGAAGGAGGGATACCAGGCCGCACCTGCACAGGTAACACAGGGGGCTGGAGCTGGCCGTGGGCAGCAATGTTGCACCTGTGCCTTCATGGGGCTGTCCTTTTTTATGGTCTATTCCACCTATTATTCTAGACGGTGACATTATCCTGAAGATTGCAAGTTAGAGCAAAAAATAAAAAAAAAAAAAACAGTTGTAAGACAGCATCTCTGGGAATGAGAACAGAATTTAGAAAAAAAATCAACGAAAAATTAAGCAGATGGTTGTATTCTAGGGGAGTGTCAGCAACTGCTGCTTAACATGCAAATTTCACAACTCGCAGGTGCTAATACTTCGAAGATGGAACTTGAGTTGATTTAGGATAAAAAGTAAGGTTTCTTCTCTCATCCTTCCATTGTACTGATCGACTTATTTTTGTCCTAAAAAGATTTTCAAACCCTATTGGTTCATCTGCCAGCTGCTCTCAGAATAACTGCCACCCTCATGACCACGGCAAAAATTCCCAATTCCTTTTAGCTAAAAATACGTCGGGTAAGCAACATTTCCCCAGCATGAGACGCGAATCAAAAAAGATGCACCACGCAGACCAGAGGCCACGTTTCCACGCAGAGCTCCACTTACACGTGCTCTCTACTCACAGGAAGGAGTCACAAGCAGAAACCACCACAAATGCATCGGGGCCTCTTCTGCCCCAAATGGAAAACACGTGTGTATGGGCTGCAGCTACTCTGACCCACTGGGTCCATGGACGGGCCGGGCACTGACCTGCTCTGTCTCCACGAAGTTGGACACGTGGCCATCGTCGTTCACACCGCGGGTGTGGAAGCGGGCGCCGGCGCGCTCGCAGCTGATGCGAGAGATGAGGCAGGCCTTGGCCTGCTTGTGCGAGGCATACACGGTGCGGATGGCCACCACCCCGCAGATGACCTTCAGCAGCCAGTCACAGCAGCTCACCTGGTGCTGCCTCAAGGGCACGTGCAACAGCTGGTTCCTGCAAAATGAGGCGTACACCGATTCAGGTCACCGTACATCCTCCGGCAAACGCTGCACCCAAAGCAAGCGCTAGGGAGGCACGCAAGGGGCTGGCGTTCTGGGTCAGAATGGGGCAAGTGCACGCTCTTCCCCGAAGGAGGCCGCATGCAGCGTGCACAGACTGGGAAGTGCATGTGCTTCAGAGAGCAGCACAAACTGCAGGGCCGCTGTGACATGTACAGGAGGAAGGGACAAGGAGTCTTTTCCCAAAGCTACCAGCAGGCTGTCACTCTCGGCAAATGGAAGCCCGACACGCACCTTCCAGGAAATTACAAAGGAGTCTGTATTCAGCCTCCGTGGCCTCCGCATATTTTTTCATAAGCCCATCAGTAAAACACTTAATCATGTTTTATGATTAAGCAATGATCATGATAAATGAGACAAATGATAAAAATAATCAAATTAAATACAGCACACTTATTTAAATTACATAAATACACACACACGCACACACACACACGATGAGAGCATTACGAAGCAATCCAAAATAAATAAAGAAGGATGAGATAAGAATACAACTTGAGCAGAGCTCCGGCACCCCCTCCCACACCCGGCGGACTGTTCTGGTTCTGGAGTCCGCGATGACACCAACCGGGCAACAGCCACCCAGGGCACCGTCCCAAGTGTTTTGGGATGGATTAGCTCACGTCACCTTTGAAATGACCCTTGTGAAAGGTATTATCAGTGACCCCATTTTACAGATAAAGAGAGTGAGGCACAGAGAGGTGAAGAAACTGCTCACAAAGCCAGGCGTGGCAGCGTGGGGCTCGGAGCCTGTGCTTTCAGCCCGAGCTCCCCTTGCTGAAGGCCCTATGTTCCCATCCGCGCCCACGACCCGCCACGTCATCCTCCCACCCCCGACTCGCTCGGCCTCCCCGGCTCCCAGGGGACCTGAGCGGTGCCATTCTGAGGCCTGTAACCCACTCCCCCAGGGAGGCAGGAACCGTCGCCAGGAGACTCGCTCTTGCAGGGTACCGAGTAAATCTAGATCGAGATGCCCTACTTGTTTAAAAAAGGCAACCCGGTTCCTGCCCTTGAGCCTTCCTCAAAGACATTTTCTCACTGCTGGCAGTCCATGCTGTGAGCAGTGACAGGCAGGGGCTTCTCCAAGCTCCCTGCTCACAGGCCGGCCCCCCAGCTGTGGGCACGGCTCGTCTGAGCTCATGCGTGCAGCCCAGGCACCGCCCCGCGGGAAGGACAGTGCTCACAAAGCACCATCTCACGAACACATGTCCCTCTTCTGAATCTGAGAAACTCAGCTACACCAGCTCTAGAAACACATATGTCGCATCTGCACGTGGCATCTAGGCAAAGCCTCCAGAACATCCCAGAGTCTGCCAGCCCCACAGCTACGGCAGCTGTCGTCAGGAGCCGACATCTTTTGCCAAATGGACAACCCTCAGATAAGCCCTGTTTCCAGTGACTTGTGCCTGACCCTCTGGGGGGAAGATGGCTCCTGTTCTAGGAGGAAGATCCCCAAGTCCATGAAGGAAAACAGAGCTCTGAGTTTCCTCCAGGACTTATCTGTGCCGGGAAGCAGTTTTCAGTGTGATCAGTAACCAGCCTGGGATGCCGCGACTTCACCCTTTCACTCCCCACAATTTACTGGCCCCGGTCAGTGCTGACCCCACCTGGCTCCTGCTGTGGGTCTGCAGACCCCAAACGCTGGGCCACAGCACAGCGGGCTGAGGCGGTCCAGCCTGTGGCCGCTCTGCCCGGGGTGACTCAGCTGTGGTCAGGTCTGCGGGTTCCACCCTGAGCCCAACACCACGCCCGGGCGCACAGCGCAGCCGAGCAGCCTGGCACCCGCTGAAGTTGCTTCCTCCTCTCCAAGGCAAGGCGTAGTCCGGTGTCCACTTCGGAAAGGGACAGCACAGGCCCCTTCCCCAAGTCCCTCTCAGCTGCCAACGTCCTCCTCTTTGCCTCACTGTTGGCGTCCCTCACGTCACCCGTCACCGAGCTGGCGTGAGGGAAGAGCGGTTACAAAGGTGCTGGGGAATCCAGACACCCCAGGGATCTCCTACAGTTTCCAAGGAATGTCACACCACCGATGGCTACTGCCTCCGCTCACCCGACAGTCTGGTCTAAAATGGGCCAGCAGCGCCAGCCGCTTGGTAGAAATGCGGGACCTCGGGCCCAGCCCAGCCCGCTGTATCAGAATCTGCATTTTAACAAGATGGGCAGGAGAGTCACATGGGCTGCAGAGTCTGAGCACATTACTGACCCTCGAGCTCAACATCAGGGAACCAGAGAGGATGGGGGTGAGGGCACCGGGGTGCTCGTGGGGACGTGGGCGGGTCCCTCTCTCCAAGCAGCATTCCCTGCCGGGGCCTGGAAGCAGCAAGAACAGAACACTTGCCGCCCGTCGGAAGCCTGTGACAGCCTCTGTGTGGGCACGGGGAGGAAGACGCAAATAAAGTTCAGAAATCAGCCTCGCCAGTCCCATCCCAGGGCTGGGACAACTGATGTGGCCCAAAGGCAGACCCTGGCATTCTAAACCATCGCATCATGTGAGCGATTTGCACACCTTGAGCAAGATTTGCATCCTTTTTGCTTCTGCCCAGCCACGCAGGCCCCAGCGAGCATCTGAGGGGGCGGCGATGCTGACGACCAGGCCAGCGCACCGCTGTCTGGAATCACCACCACCCGCTCACAGGACTTGGCGGTCCTGACCCCAGGGCCCAGAAAGGCCAGTAAATAATGCTTAGCTCTGTCCTTACTCGGAGTGAAGGAGTGGCAGGTGATCCCCAACATGCAGAAATTCGGCCACCTTTGCCCGGGCTTCAGGGCTTGCCTTAGCCTGTTACTACGAGTTGCCTTGGGCAAGCTGACTCAGTTTCCCTGTTGATGGAGCTGGTTCAGCTTATGATTACCAGTTTGGGATTTGGAGCCAGAATGCCTGGGTTCAAATCCTGGCTCTGCCACTTACTAGGTGTGTAGAGTTTGGTGAAATTCCCTCGCTTGTTCGTGCCTCAGTCTCCCTCTCTGTGAAATGGGGTAACAGACCCTTCCTCATAGGTCATGAGGATGATACGAGTTATTCCCCAAGGAAGACAATGACTGGAACGCAGGTGCGTACAAATGTCGGGGGTAACAGCTGCACACGGAGGGTAACCGGGATCGCTGAGGACCCAGAAGGGCTGGTCCAGGCGGGAGCGCTGAGCCTCCGGCGCCGGGATGCACTCGGCAGGTGCTGCTCTATGCGCTCCCCTCACGGAGCTACCTTTCTTCCCTCAGTCTGCGTCGGACCACTCTGAACACACCCCTGAGCCCACGGGGTGAGGAGTCTGGGGCCATTTTCTCCTCACTGTGCTGAGCCCGCAGGCATAGACCACTGCTCTCCAGAGGTGACCCATGACGCGGGGACAAGGGACCGAGGAGCCAACCAGAGCCCGCCCTCCATGGGACCTGCCCTTACCAGAAGAAGGAGCTGCCCCACTCGGAGCTGGCATCGCCCTGCTTCTGCGTCCGCACGGTCAGGTCGAAGCGGGATCCGTCGTTGGGCCACGAGAAATAGAACAGCCCGGAGCTGAGGATTTTCCTCAAGGCTGCGAGGCGGTCCTCCTCCTTGGCCTCCTCCTGAAGCGGGTAAAAGTCGGTGGCGGTGATCTTGTAGATTTCGGCATCTGGAATCCTGCCCACTGATGTGCAGCCGGTCACCAACACCAGGAAGCTCAGGGAAGTGCCCCCTGGAAGGGAAATCAGACATGAGAGCTCAAGGTCGCAGTCGCACAGCCGCCAAGCAGCTCGGGGCGACACAGAGGAACAGGCAGAGCCGTTGCCAGATGCAGCTGGGAAGGTGACTTCCTGTGGACCCGTCACCTCCCCCTCGCATTTCCACACTCACTGCCTGTCACCTACGCCGTGGGTGCAGTCCTCTGACCAGCAGCTCCCGCCTGCTTGGGAGCAGGCTAGAAAGGCAGATTCTCGGCCCCGCCCAGCCATCGGGGTGGGAGAGCCCTCTCCCCACATCTGCCACCAAAGCGTCCCCAGCCCTCAGCCACTGCCTTGACTCAGGACCCCCCGCATGGGATCCATCCTCCCAGCTCTGTCACGGGGTGGCCTTGTCAAACCCATCTGATCACAGCCCTCCTCTGCCTACGTCCCCCCGTGGCTCCCACTCACCTACAGGACTGAGACGGAAGCTCCCTGCAGGCCCTCTGGCTCCACAGCTGCCCACCGGTGTCGCTGCTCCACATGTGGCTGGCCACTGTTGTGGGCTGGCTGTCCTCTGCGGCTCCTCCAATGTGCCACATGCCCTCACAGCCTGTGCATTTGCCCAAGACATTCCCTCTGCCCAGGACATGCTCCCGCTGTCTGCCCAGCAGGGCCTGCACGACCCCTTCCCTGCACACCTTCCACCTCGTCTCTGCCCGCGGTACCTTGGGCTTTGGGTCCCAGCCTCCACCTTCTGGAACAGCACGAGCCCCGCCAAATGCTCCATGGTGACCGCCTCACCTTTGCCCTCACCCTTTACCAAGCAAACTTCTACCCACACTTTGGGGTCAACTTGACCCCTGAGCATCACCTCCTCCGAGAAGCCTTCCGTTCCCCCACGAGATGCAGTCAGGTGCCCCTGCGAGGTGCTGAGAGCATCCCGGGCAGCGTCCCTCACATACAGACCCACCAACGTCCCTCCCTGTCTGTGTCCCCCTGCAGATGGGGGTTCCTCAGGGGTGGGGCTCTGTTCAGTGCCACCTCCTGGGCCTGCACAGTCGGTGTTTGATGAATAATTCCTAAATAAATTCCTGCCAAGCGCCGCCCAGACCACCTCCGACCCTGCTGCCAGGCGAGTGCGGCACCCTCTCTGGGCTCCACACTGTCCCTCCCAGCTTGCTTTCTGCTCTGCGCTTCCCCCTCAACGCGCACAGGTGCCCCCAAGATTTAGCTGGGTGGACAGCTGGCCTTGGGGATGGCGTGGCTCTGGCCCAGAGGACGCTCTTCCCACCTGCCAAGGTTCAAGGGACCTGCTCCCAGCAAGATCTACTGCAAAGGACCAGGGGCAGCTACTGGAGTGATGGCTTGGAGATGCTTCACACCTGTGACACGCTGAGAAAGGCCCAGAGACAGGCAGTTCCTTCCCTCAACACCTCCCCCGCCTTCCTCATCACACCCACAGGAAGAGGCTGCCTGGGCGGGCAGCGCCGGGTTTTGATTAAGGAAGGTTCGCTGGATGAGTGGGGTCAGGGCTCCCACATGCCACCGAGATGCTATGGGGCACGAAGTGGCTCCTATCATGTCTCCCCAGTCACATCAGGGAAACTGATTTAAAATCAGACAAGAATAAAGGCAGGTACCCTGAGGACAGAGAGGGCAGGGGGCTCTCAGAGGGCAGGGGTTTCGGGTGGGGTGGCTGTCCCAGAGCCATGGCCTCAGGGCACAGACGTCCCCCAGCACCTTCCCACCTCTCCTGCGGGCCCAGTGCAGGGAAGTGCAGAGCTCAGCACTGTGCCCCCAGAGGGGCAAGGGGACAGCCCCCGTGGCCTGGGCCAGGAGCGGGTTCCAGAAGCGACATGGAAAATTCTGCTTCACGTCACTCCATCCGAGTCATGAAGCTGGTTTCTAGCACACTCCCTTACAGCCTCTGCGTGGGGGACCTGAGTCCCTGGCAGGAGTCCCAGGTTGCTGTGAAGGCAGTGGCATTTCCTGGGCAGGACAGCAGCCTGGGGGAGGATCCGGAGGGGCGGGGCGTGCCACAGCAGATGGGAAGACATCCGTTCCCCTGAGAAGGGGGCAGGGGCTCCGGGTGTGGGGGAGTGAGGGGAGCCGGCACCTGTGGGCGCTGCAGCCGGGCTTCAGGAACAGCCGGTGCGCAAGCAGCCGCCCACGCACGGCCCAGGCTCTCCCTAACCCTCCCAACAACCCGGGGGGCATCACCAACCCATTTCACAGGGAGGGGAGCGGAGGCACAGAGAGGTCAAGCAGCCTGCCCCAGGTGACAGAGCGGGGGAGCCGGGATTCAAATCCACTTTCTGGCCACACCACCTGGGCGAGTTACTCAAGCTATGCCTGGCTCCACCGCGGGTGCTCCCATCTCCTTGCAGACGGTATCACCAACCTGCCAACAGCGCTGCTCTCGTGGGGCTATCGCCATCTTACACACGAGCACCTGCCCCCCAGGGAGCTGAGTCACCCGCCAGGCACATCTAGTCGAGTCGGAGCTGAGACGCAAATCAGGGGTGGGGGGGTCCACCTGAAGCCCGCGCTCTGCCAGCAGTTTCCAACCAGGCTGGATCGTTTTTAAAAGATTCCGTACAGAGCGTGGCCAACCAAGAACTTGCTACTGACTGAATGTGGGCACCCCCCATATTTATACGCGGAGACCCTCATCCCCAAGGCGATGGTATGAGGAGGTGGGGCCTTTGGGGGTGATCAGGTCACGAGGGTGGAGCCCTCACGTTTGGGATCAGTGTCCTTATCAAAGAGGCACAAGGCAGCTCCCTCATCCCTTTCGCCACGTGAGGACACAGCGAGAAGGCACCACCTATGAACCGGGAAGCAGGGCCCCCTCGCCAGCCATGGAATCCGCTGGTGCCTTGATCTCAGACTTCCGGCCTCCAGAACTGGGGGAAATACATTTCTGTTGTTTGCAAGCCTCCCCGGCTGCGGAACTTGGTTACAGCAGCCCAAAGGGACTAAGACAGCATTCCCCACTCACTTAAAAACTGACACCAAGCATTTTCTTCATTAAACAGTTGTAAATAATATATTTCCAGCATAGTCTAAATACTGACACGTAAAAATAAAACTGCAGTTGCTGTCTCCAGCAGTGCCGGCATTGCCGCAGTGATTTGACACCCTTCGCCACACAGTACCTAAAGGAACACATGAAGGAGTTCTTCTTTAACAAGTGGACGTTTTACTCCTATTTCCATTCTACTTCCCTGCAGAATTTCACCCTAACATGATCTGTGCTTCCATGTCTCTAGTGAGCTCCCTCGCTCACTGTGCAGCAGTTGGTTCCTAAACGCAAAGTGTTTAAAAACAGTTTCTTCTGGTTTGATCAACGCATAATGGATCAGACAATGTAAACAATACAAGGTAAATAAAGCATTTAGAAAAATTATCATTTAACATAAAAAGTAAAGATTTGTTGGAAAGGCACCTCTTAATGAGATGAATGAATATTATTTCTCGAAGGAATGAAAGTAAGTTTTGCACCAATTCTAACTCTATTTTTCAGGTGTAAACACTAAAAACCCTTGCTCACATTAATAAATAGACGGGAATAGAAACAGCTGCATATAGAAATGTCACACAATTCTTCAAATTCCTTCCGAGTTAGTGCTGAATAAAACCACAATGACCTTATTGACGAAATCACTCTCAGTGCCCTCAGCGGACAGCCCACTGCCGTCCTCCTTCGATTTTATGGGAAGCAAACCATTAGATTTCCCCCAACTTGCAAACAGTTTGTTACCTAGTCACTGATGTGACTTATTTCAGCACTGTTGACAGCAACACTGGAACTGTCCCCTTGCTTGGCGCCGTAGAGGGAGCTACTTCCTCGAGCAACACAGCGCTAAGATACCGGATGGGGGCAAGGCCTGCTTCCTTTCCTAACACGGAGGCAGGAGGACGCGGAAGGGACGGTGCAAACCGGAAAACTGCCCTCCGTCCCAGGCACTCGGCGACCAGAAGCGCTGAGGAGCGAGACGTTGTTTTGTTTAGTGCTGGCCAGCCTGTGTGACCACAGAGGAAAGCGTGCCCCGCCTCGGGACAGCTGTGGAGCCAGTGCCTCTAGGAGGGCCTCGGCCAGCCCCCCTCACCCGGCACGCGGTTCCCTTCCCTCCATCCTGGTGTGGCTCTGTCCTGCCTAGGCTCGCTCAGAGCCCGAGTGTGCGCTCCGTGTACCGCGGGAGCTTAGGAAAGGTCCTGGTTCCAGCCTAGCACCAGACTGCTGGGGTCACTTGTCGGTGTGGTGCAGGCCAGTGACCCCCCCATGGAGAAGGTGCCTCTTAGGGGAGGGATGAAAGTGAGGTCTGCGGGAACTCCCTGCCCCAGACACCCGAGGCCTCTCCCAATGCTCACCTTGAGCACAGGATCCGGCTTTGCTTCTGTGAGCAAGTTTTTGTTTTCTAACAGCAAGAAGGTAACCAGGCCTGGGGAGGGTCTCAGAGTCCTCAGTTGAGGCTGAGTCTGGGGCCTTGTAGCAAGAGAAAGCTAAAACTCAGAGGGCTGGGGCTGCCAGTGGCTGTGGGGCCTCAGGCAAGGCTCCTACCCTCTCTGGGCTTCACATGGGGACACACCCGGTGGTCTCCATGTCCCTTTCAGGTCGAAGGCTCTGGTTCCAGGGCTCCAGCCAATGCAAGACCTTGCAGGGGTCAGAGGGAGCCGCCGGAGTCCGGTGGGGGGACGGGGGAGGGGCAAGCTGTGGGTCACAGGCTAGAAGATACACTAGACCCGGGAGGGGACACACATACACACCCGCTCAGAGAGCAGAAGGCTCAGAGTCCAGACGGCCCCACGTGGCACCGGCACCGCAGGGTGGAGAGCAGACTGCGCCAACCTGCCTGTTGTCTGATGGGGACGGAGTCTCAGCCTGGGAAGGCGAGATGAGTTCTGGACATGGACGGTGGTGACGGCTGCACAGCAATGTGAATGTGCCTAATGCCACTGGACTGTGCACTTAAAAATGGTTAAAATAGTACATTTGATGTTACATATATTTTACCATAATAAGGAAAAAAAATCCAAAACCTCAACATCAGCTCAGACATTCTCCCCTCATCAGGGCTGCCTCCAAAACCCAACTCTGAGTCAAGCTGCCAACATCCCTGGCCCCTGCAGCACCAGGGTCTATGTCTACCTAGCGGCGGCCACTTGTCACCAGGCCGCGAGGGTTTGGTGTCGGGACCCTGAGGCGTCACACACAGACACAACGCCCTGCTTATCGGACAACACGGAGTCCTGCTGCACTCTGTGCAGGCGCAGCCCAGCCTTGGAGCCTCCCGCTGCCCTCCCCACCTCCTCTGTCCTGCTCAGACTCTCCGCTTACAGCGCTACACACGGGACTCTGAAGTCTCGGCCTTACCTCCTTCCCGTGAAGCGAGGACCTTCAACCTCAAGCCTCCTCCCGACACCGCCGGCCCTAAACATCACGTACCACGTGGCATAGTCTCAGGTCCCTCTTCCCACCCTGCCCCATGCAGAACACAAGCGCGGTGCAGACAGCGGGTGCTGGAGCCAGCACGACAGCTCACGGGCACCCACGGGGCCCGCCTTTCCCCAGTTCCACACTAGTGGCCTGAAATCGGCCCACGTCGGTACAATCACACCATGGAAATTGGCAAACACTGCGTATCGGAGCTTCCCCCAAAAAGAGCTGTCAAATGTTTACCAGCCCACCACTGGGCATAGGCATTAAAATAAATTATTCTAAGACTGTCAAAGGCCAGTCCATTTCAAGACTTGCTAGAGAACACTGCATCCCCAAAGACTAAAGACTTAAACCTCCATCTTCGGAAAATTCTCATTCCGAGCAGACTGCCCCTAGAAATGAGCCCTCTGTTAGCCTGTGTGGAGTAACCCCCTGCCCCCACAGCGTCCGTGACCCAAAGCCACGCAGCCCGGCCCCTTCCCTCACACCAAGTTCTGCCAAAGTGACCCATCTGCAGGCCAGGCCCCCCCACACTCAGCACCCGTGGCCTCCCAGCAACTGAGGAAGAGAGACGCAGAGCCCCTCAGGTGGAGGTGGGGAGTGTGGACTCTGCCCCTCAGCCCCAGGACTGCCACTACACGCAGGCCACATGCTAACGACCTGCCCAGGACCAGCCTGCCTAGTGTCTGAGGAGCACTCCAGGCTTTCCAAGGCAACCATGTTCATCACCTCATGGAGATCTCATAAGAACTAGGCAAGACAGAGATGAGGCAGTTTTCCCAGTTTTAGAGATGAGAAAACAGTCCTAGAGAGAGTAAATGAATACAAAAGATCGGTTGTGAAGCTGGAACCAGAATCCAGAAGGACTGTTTCGTAGAGAATTTATAGGCTGTCATGTATAGTGCCACAGGCTGGCCACTGCACAACTCCAGGAGACACGATTCATTACAGTCTGGGATTTGAACAGAGTCCCTGAGGCTATGAAACAGGGACGCCTTGACAGCTTAGGTTAAAGAGGAGTTAAATCCCTAAAATCACTGGGATAAATTCTTTTTTCTGCTACGTTCTCACTTTCTATGCTTCGTACTGTGTGTGCTTCAGGAAGCCTGACTCCCTGGCTAATCACGGGGGCGCCAACCCCTTCCTGCTGACATTTCAGGGAGGAATGAGGGACTCTGGGCTCTCTGCAAAAACCTAGGAACTCGGGATAAAGCTGTCATGCAATTTTTGTGCATGTTTCTTAACTTCTAATGTAAAAGGCCATTTTCATTTAGGTCAATTGAAATTTGTCCCAAATTAAGAGCCTGAGGAGAAGCCCCTTTCTTTGTACAAAGACCCTCGGCTAACCACGTCAAAAGGGAGGCCCACTCCTGACTCGGCTGGTCTCCTGGTGGCAAGCAGAAGTTGGAGTTATGCTCTGTGCTGCCCGACACGCTCACAGGTGAAAATAAAACAGATCAGAACAGATCGTAGTTCTAGGTCAGGGACTTACAGGGGAAAAGAAAGTCAAGTTAAAGCCAAAGGACCTTTAATGTAACCGAAGGGGATTTGAAAAACTCGATTTAAAGGCCCAATTCTTCCATCCTTCAGATGCCCTAGGGCATAGATCCCCAACCCTTTTGGCACCAGGGAAGGGTTTCATGGAAGACAATTTTTCCAGGAACCAGGGTGGGGCGGAAGGGAGTGATGGGGAGTGGCTGTAAATACAGAGGAAACTTTGCTCTCTTGCCCACTTCCACCGCTCACCTCCTGCTGTGTGGCCTGGTTCCTAACAGGCCACAGACTGGTGGCGTCCATAGCCTGGGGGCGGCTGGGGATCACAGCCCTAGGGCACTTTCTGGAAGGTGTTAAAAACAGGCCAAATAATCCTGATGGGTTCTAAAAGTCAAACCTGCCTGCACCATGCTCAGAGACTTCCAGCCCGCCCTGCAAGGTGGGGCTGGGGTCTTAGAGGACATCGGAACAGGGGTAGGGACCTAATGCCCCCTAACCTGATGGCCCACCAAAGAGGACATGGCTGAGGGAGGAGAAGGGCCTTGCCTAGGGCTGCTCCAGGAGTTGGTCACCTCTCTCCACACTCCCTGCCCCCTGGGCCAGGGACCCTGAAGTTACCCTGGCTCGCTGTGACAAGATTTCTCTGGGGGCTGCCATTCCTCTCAGTTAGGACCAATCCCCATAGCTGATCTTAGATCACAGCCCAGGAAAAAACACTGCTCCCTGGGATGGGGAAGGTACCGCTCTTCCCACCCCACTTGTCAGCCCAGCTGCCTGCCCCTTTCGGAAAGGCAGAGCCTGGTGGCTAGAGGTGGTCCCTGGGGCCGCGAGGCATGAGTTGAAGACCCAGGTTACCAGTTGAGAACGGTGGGACCTTGGGCCAGTTACCGAACTTCACTGAATCCCAGTCCCCGTCAGATGCAAAATGAGTCATTCGTTATTGTAGCAGAAACAGTTGTCAGCTATTAAACACAACTGTAAGATGCCCAGGACTGTACCACATCCTGAGGGCCTAGATGTTACAATGTGAAACATGAGTCTTAAGAGTAGGCAGGGGTGGTGGCTCATGCTGTAATCCTAGCACTCTGGGAGGCCGAGGTGGAAGGATCGCTTGAGCTCAGGAGTTCGAGACCAGCCTAAGCAAGAGCGAGATTCCCCCATCTCAAAAAAAAAAAAAGAAAGAAAAAAATGAGCCTTAGAGTAGACAATCCAAGTTCCTAAGCCTCTGAGCTTCCCCTTCTGCACCTGCAAAGCAGGATGACGACGCCACCACGTGACAGGTGGCTGGGCGAGCACAGCTAACAGATCGGCCCAGCACACGGCAAGCGCCACACAAGTGAGGCCACCGTCCTCACCACCATCACGACAGCAGCAGGGGCCACGGGGTTTGTAACCTCAGAAAGATTACCGCGGAGGAAAACGCCCTGCAGAAACCTGTGGGCAGGCAGCACATTTTCATGGAAAAATGAAGTGTCTGGAGGCAGCGATGTCTGGTTTGAATCCTAGCTAAGCTTCTCTCCTTAGGCAAGTTACTTCAACCCTGAGCCTGTTTCCTCTACCGTAAATGGGACGAGATACATTACCACATTGGCTTATTTTTAGGATTAAATAAGTTAACGTATATCTGGCCCTTGGCACAAAACAGACATTTCATAAATGCATTTTGTCACGTGGGCACTGCGTGTTTTTCCTAAACGCAATTTGGAAATGATTAATGTAGTGATCATAGTTCAGGATTATAGTTCCCATGACAGAGAAGACCCCGATAAGTACCGGCAAGCATAGCAGTGCCTCTCTGCCGGCTTCGGAAATCCTCGGTCTCTGAAAAGAGCTGCTGTGTGCGACGAGGGGAGTGTGCACTCGGCTCGGGAAGAGCCCGAACTGGGACAATTCACAGCCATTCCCATCCCGACCGGGCAGGACCAAGAATCAGGAAAGCAACCCACGCTCTGGTCTTGGCCCCAGAAGTCACTGGAGATCACAGCCAGGTGGCTGATGGCACGGGGCGGGGCCCGAGGGGGGAGGAAGGAAACAGTGGCTGCAAAACCCCAGGGCCTCGGGGCTCCCAAGGTAAAGGAACAGCAGGGGTGTCACAGAGGTGACTGTGCCCCTTTTTCCTCAAGTTTCCTTCCCTCGCACCCCACAGGGAGGGTCTGACATCAGACGTTGGCTGCTTTTCTCTCCTGCCAACCACTCCTAGCCCTCCCCTCTGCCCTCCAGATACACCTGGAGAGTCCAGAGACGCGGAGCCTCCGGCATCTGCCCTGGTCCCCGTCCCCATCCACCCACCTCGATACCCTTTCTACAGTACGACAAACAGCCCTGGGCAGGAGCCACAGACCAGACTTTGGAAACACCCAGGTTCTTGTGGCAAACAGGGAAGGTGAGCTGCTCTGGCACCAGGGCTGGAAGCCACGCCCTCCTCCACCAGCACAGACAGGTGACAACCAGGCTACGCTCCCCTTCACACCCCCCACCACATGGAGGAACAGGTTCCGGGGTATAAAGAAACATCCCAAAAGAGGAGAGCAGTTAAAACAGAAAGCCTGAGCCCCGCAGCCTCCCCACGTGAACACGAGAGGCTTCTGCCCACCGCGGTGGCAGTCGGGGGCTGGCAGCTGCTCTCTCTGCTCAGCGGCTACTCACCAGATTTCAACCTGAGCTCCCCCAGGCAGCCGTAAGCATCCGCGAGCTTGCCGTACTGTCCCTTAATGACTTCCTTTTCTTCCGGAGCTGGGGGAGAAACACATCACAGAAGACATCAGTGACAGTCTCCTGCTCGTTCCTGTTCATTCACACCCGGTTTGCCAATCTGGCTCCCCACCCACTCGTAAAAGAAAACACACGGACAACAGCCCGGCCCACAAGCAGAGTGTGGGGGTTCTGCGACGCTCGAATCACGGCGCTGCAGGCTGCAGACCTTCCCACGAGCAGCTTGCTCTCTGGAAGCGCCGGCAGCTTCCCGGGGGCTGGAGGAGGTGGGGTGAGCGCCAGGGCGGCCCAGGCGCCGGGATTCTGGCCTCTGGCTGGGAACAGGCACCGTGGACCTGGCTCTTTGTCACCCTCCACAGGCTCAGAAACGGGACTGAGTCATCGTTAGCCATTTGTGAGGACCTTTCCTCCCGAGTATCACCCGCTGACGGCCTCGTCCTGGAGATGCCTGCCGCCCTCAAAGGACCTGCTGCCACGGGGGGGCGGGGACAGAGAGGGAGGCCTGGGCACAGCGAAGCCCAAGGCGAGCGGCCTGCCTTGCCCGCTGGGTCTCCAGCAGTGACCATCAATGCCCAAGCAGAGGACAGCCCAGTGAAAAACCAAAAATGACAGAGGGAAGGACCTTCAGGCACAGCAGGCCCTCTCCCCTACAATGATGCCACAGGCCCCTCTGGCCAGGACAGGAGCAGTCCCTTCTCAAATAATGTTCCAAATGCAGAGAATGAATTATTAAATATAAACATGGATCAACCTTGAAGACATTATGCTACATGAAAAAAGCCAATCACAAAAGACTTCATAAATACTCTATTTATGTGAAATGTCCAGAACAGGCAAATTTATAGAGACAGAAAGCACATTAGTGGTTGGCAGGGGCTGAGAGTGGAGAAGGGGGAATGTAGATTATTGCTAATGAGTATGGGGTCTCTTTCAAAGGGGACAAAAATGCTCTAAGTTAGATTGCGGTGAGGGTTGCACAACCCTGTAAATATACTAAAAACATGACACTTGAATGGGTAATTACATTGTATGGTATATGAATTATATCTCAATAAAGCTATTATAAAAATCAACAAAATAAGTAGGATTGGCCGGGCACGGTGGCTCACGCCTGTAATCCTATCTCTCTGGGAGGCCAAGGCGGGTGGATTGTTTGAGCTCAGGAGTTCGAAACCAGCCTGAGCAAGAGCAAGACCCCGTCTCTACTAAAATTAGAAAGAAATTAATCGGACAACTAAAAATATACAGAAAAAATTAGCCGGGCATGGTGGTGCATGCCTGTAGTCCCAGCTACTCGGGAGGCTGAGGCAGGACGATTTGAGCCCAGGAGTTTGAGGTTGCTGTGAGCTAGGATGACGCCACGGCACTCTAGCCCGGGCAACACAGTGAGACTGTCTCAAAAAAAAAATAAGTAGGATTGCAAAGGACACTAATATTATTGAAATCCAGTTATCAAGATATTTTTAAAAACGTTACAATATAGCAATATATGTGCCTTATTTAGTATTAGCATTTTAAATAAGAAGATCTTATGGGGTCTATTAACCACATTAATTTCAAACTAGTGACAAGAATGAACACTATATTGAGATATTTTCACATCATATTAGAGTGGTTGCAGATATCTGTCATTTCTATTAGTGACAGAGTCGGAGACGGCTGACACACGGTGGTGACCAAGTCGGACATGTAGCGCATACTGGTTTTACTGCCTGCCTTCCTAATTGAATGAAATGCTAAATTTCAGTTAGGATTTATAAACACAAAGATGGACTTTTTTCCCCATGCAGGAGAACCAACCCGCACGTTCTGCGTGCAGAGCCCTCAGCGGCCGTGGTCCCCGCGCGAGAACCTTGGGGCTGGAAGAGCCACCTGCCCATCGTCATGAAGGTAAGAGACAGAGCAGCTGATTCCTTCTCTGCCTTGTTCCCGAGCAAAAGAAAGGAATTCTCAGACTGCCTGGACTCCCAGAGTGAAGGAATTTCAGCTAGGAACTAAGATCCCAAAGTGAAATGTTGAAACGGGAGAAAGGACAGAACATAACAGAAGCTCTCATCAAGTCCTGAGAGCAGATGCCCTGGAACTGTCTGACTTCCATCATCCTGCCGTCTCTACCGATGTGGATTCAGGAAAGGCCAGGGTAGAGGCTAAGACGAGCATTTTAAGAGGGTGAGCCCAGCTCTAGCTGGCACTCATCCTGCTACCCCCCGGCTCAGATGACCTGCTGCCCCACATTTTCCAGGACAGACTCAATTTCCTGGTTCCGCTCAGCCATCCGCCCAAAGTGCACTGTGCTCATCAGACCACGTGTCTCCACTGGGACTGGAAATACGGTCAGTCTGACGCTCCCACCTCCCCCCCTCCCCCGAAGCTCTTCCCACTCTCGGCCCCCAGCGGTGAGCCCTGGCAGCTCAGGGGCCAGCGTGGGCTGCGCCCGCCTGGCTCTGCAGCAGGCCCAGGAGGGCGGAGGGCAGGCAGCAGGCTCTCAACACAGGACCTGCCACCGCCCACCAAGGGGATGGTCCGTCCAAGCTGGGGCTTGGGACATAGCTGGCAGGGCAGAGAGGTGGGACAGACCCTAAGACCAGAGACCCCTTCCTCCATTCTCCAGGCAGGACTGGTGACAGGACGTGATTTAAAAAGAAAGGCTGATTACCAGCATAGCCAGAGAGGCCAACAACCTGAAAACACACCGGATTCTCGTTATTCACAGCCGTTCTGTTCTATGAAGTCACCGGCAGAAACTGAAGCATTGCTCCTAGAGGAAATACAGAGCTAAGGTCCTGAGAGCCTCGGGCCACAACATTTTCATCAGCCAACCAACAGAAACTTGTTTTATGTGTGTTTCTGTTAAAAGACACCTTACCGAATACACGGATGCTCCTTGACTTATGATGGGGTTATGTCCCAATAAACCCATTATAAGTTGAAAATACTGTAAGTCCAAAATGCATTTAATATACCTAACAAACATCACGCCTTAGCCTCGCCTACCTTAAATGTGCACAGAACACTTAAATTAGCCTATAGCTGAGCAAAATCATCTAGCGTAAAGCCTGATTTATAACACAGTATTGAATATCTCATGTAATTTATTAAATACTGTACTGAAAGTGAAAAACAGAATGGTGGTGTGGACACCCGAAGTTTCTACCACATGTATCGCTTTTGCACCATCGTAAAGCAAAAAATTTCTAAGTGGAACCATCATAAGTCAAGAACCATCTGTACACTGTTGACTCAATAACATGGAACTCACGGCCAGGCGCACTGTAACTCAGACCTGGATAAAGTTATCAAACACAAGTATTTTCTCTGCACGGCACATCGCTGCCTTCTTGTGCTTAGAGACGCTAGACAGCGCTGCAGCACAATGCCTGAGGGCCATTTTAAACAGCGAAACCACTAGGAAAAAGCATAAAAATGTGGAAAACGTGGCACTAAATATTAAAAATCATGAAAATGAGTATCGTTTACAGTATGAGCACTGAAATAAGCATCGCCTCGTTCAACCTCAGCTGGGAACAGGTGATCAGGCGACTCCAACTTCACCACTCTGTTCACGTCTTTGAGTATTGCCCTCAGCGTTACACATTTTAGAGAGCAGGTGAATTTACAAGTATGGCATCCACAAATGATGAGAGGAGAAGGTTATCCCATTAATACAATGCAATTTTATATGTATTTTTATGCGGCTGGGACTCATAGTTTTCAGAAGAATCTCAAAGGTGTTAGTAGCCCCCAAAATGTTAAGAACCAGTTTAATGATTTTTTTCCCCAATACTCACTTGAATTTCATTGGTTGGGGTTTTGGGGGAAGGAAGAGGGCAGAGTAACCTAATCAATGAGATCATTTGGAGCTGAGGACTGAGCAGCCTTTGCCGCCAACAGGGGGCTGGGGGGTTACTTACAGCAGACAAAGCTCCTATTAAATTAGGGTCTGAAGGTCCCTTAGAAAAGGACTGGGAAGCCACAGTCCCACTTTTCTACCTGCCTTGAAAAGATAGAGCGGCTAAGAAAGGTGGCAGAGCGACGTATTAGTCTCCTGTTGTTCTGTGGGTCAGAATTCTGAGATGGGTTTCACTGGACTCAAAGCGCCACGTCCCCTCTGTGGGCTGCAGGAGAGAAGCCACTGCCTGGCTTTTCCCAGCTCCTAGAGGCGGTCTGCACTCCCTGGCTCGTGGCCCCTTCCTCCCTCCTTCAGGCTGATCTACTGGAGCACGTCCAGTCTCTCTCCCTTTCCTTCCTCCCTCCTCCAGCTTCAAGGACCCTTGTGAGAGCACTGGGCTTGCCGGGACAGTCCAGGGTCACCTCCCCCTCTCGTGGCCCTTAACCGAACCACATCTGCAAAGTCCCTTTGCCACGGAAGGTCCCACGTTTACAGGTTCTGGGAAGTAAGACGTAGACCTTTTTGGGGTCCACGGATGGATACAGCCCACTGCTTGCAGCCCACAGGTGCCCCGCTCTCTGCTCGCACGCTGATGGGGGGTGGCGGCAGCAAGGCACCCTCTCCCCACCCCACCCGGAGGTGATGAGAAACCCAGTGCTAAGGCGTCCAACTATGTCATGTGCCTGCAGAGTCCCCTACTCTATGGCCTGTGAAACCCCAACCGCACAGGCAAGGAAGGTCCCTGCCACAGGTGCTACAGGCAGGCCGGGGAGAGGTAAGCCAGCAGTTCTTGGTGCCGCATCTCAGTAGATGAGCTGATAAATGTGGTAACGTAATTCTGACACCAAAAATATTTACTCCAGCCCTGGCAGCCTTACCAAGCCTTCACACAGAACCCCTAAGCCTTGGCAGCATCTGGCTCTCACTTTGTTAACCCTGCCACAAAGGGGCCTTTGTGCATTCATTCGACTGTGCAAATAAACCTGACCAAATAGCACCAAGCGACAGGAAGTCGCTAAACAAAGTGATGAGGTCAAATCCGCACTTCAGGGGTGGGAACACGACCATGGCAGGAGCCGTGGAAACAAACCCGACCCCCTGCCCTGCTGGATTAGAGATGACAGGCGTGGAC